ACCCATTTTTTTCTTTTTTAATTGACAAGACAACGAAGTCTGTCTAGGGGTGCTCATCCGCCCGTCTGTCTGGCTGCTGCACACGATATCTCTTGTATTTGATTTAATCCAAACTTGGTACATTGTTATATTACAAATTTAGATCGACTTCGGAGATGGGTAACATCGGTTACTCCCCAACAAAAAGGTCAACATTTTCAAAAAAATTAATGCACAGAAATAGAAAAGAAAATCCAATTTTGTTCAAACTTTGAAAATCCCAATATTTGTATCAGTGCTAGGTCAGGTGTAAAAATGGACAAAATCGGCCCACACCATTATGTAACTCCCCTACAAAGCGTAATAAATTTAATAATTACAACTCTTATAAAAAGTGATGAGTCTGATTGTCCTCAAATTTCACACATTCTAATATTCTTATTAACAAAAGATCTGGTGTGAAGATCGGATATATCGGTCCATACCTTCTGGTACTTCCCCCACAACGGGTCAAAATTTTGAATAGCCATGAAGCTCTTAAAATTAACATCCGATTTCATTAAAACATGTTACATCTCAGTATTTCTATCAACACAGGATATGTTATAAAGATGATAGAGATCGGACCATCTTCTGGTACCTGCCCCACAAAGGGTCAAAGTTTTGAATTATTAAAAACGATCAGAAAATAAGCATCTGGTCCTCTTCATATTTTACACATGCCATTATTTGTTCTAGCACAAGATCTGTTGCGAAGATGGAATGTATCGGTCCACTCCTTCTGGTACCTTCCCCCCAAAATTTAGAAAAAAACGCGAAATAAGAATACAACTAGAATTACACAAAAAAACATTTTTGCTAAAACAAGATCGGTTGTGAAGATGATGCCAACTTCTTACCTCACCCAAAAAGGGGTCTAAATTTCCAATACTTATATCAGTCATAACTTGGGAAAGAAGTTGGGGATTTTATATAACTTGCTATATCTGAATAGTTCTCTTAACCAGAAGTCTATGATGAAAGAAGCGCCCTTCTAACCTTGTATACGCCTTGATTGGAAGACCACCTGTGTCTACCTGTGTCTATAATAAATCATATTATAAACTGAAGTAAAATTAAACAAAAACACAAACAATATATAGTGTATCAAATAAAAACGATTATTTTATTTATGAACAAACAATATATTTTTTAAAAAAATAATAATTAATAATAATTGTACATTTTATATTCGAATAAAGAGGACGAAAAAAGATTAAAACATTTAGAAGTTTTTAACGTTGCTAAGTGAGTAGGAGGTGATTACTCTCAAGGTAAAATTTGAGAAAATTAGGTTTGGTTTACATAAAAGAATCATTGCCGAAATTAAATGCTTAATTTCGATTTATTTGACGCAAAAAAAAACAGTCATAGAAAAAGTATACGTAGGTTGAGTTTCAGTGTAAACGTTGTTTTAACATAATGCTTTGCTTTACGTTCCTCTATTCTATCATGTTTAATTTTTCTCATGATATATCATAACCGTACATTAAATAAATCTTGATAGTGATTTTATTCCAGCTTTAAATAAACGATTAAACGTTTTCAGTGGAGATATGTGGGTTTGTTTAAAAATTTATTTTTTAAGTTTTAAGAAAATTTGTAAATAACGAGGCAAAAAAATAATACAAAAATAAAAAAATATATATAAACACATATATATAATAAACAATGTATAAATAATTTACATTAGAATACGTTTTCTTTCTGCTCTTGCTATAATGATATGTTATTTTGTTTTTTGTTACTGTTTCATACACATACCCTTATGTCGTATTTAATTGTTTAAAAATAAAAACAAATTTATTAAAAAAAATATGTAGATAGATGCCAAATTGTGTTTTATACATTAGCTGTCCTTTTCCGAAGGAGTTCCATATAAATTGTTTTTAAAGTAAAATATATATATTTTAAATTTTAAAAAAAATGTGGTTAAAGAATCAAAAGGCTTAAAAATTGAAACCTTTTCTGAGTGTGTGTTTGTGTTGTAAATAAATGATTTCTAAATTCACAAAAAACATAGAAGGGACGTAAAAGAGTCTGTGGACAAAAATATGTGCATTGCTTTGCGTTTTTTTATAAATCGTAATAATAAATTAAACTGTTAATTCTATAAGTAAAACAAATTATGAATAAAATTAAATTAAGAGAAAAGAGAAGGAGAGAGAGAGAGAGCGAGAACAATTTTTCTTTCAAAAACTTTTTTCTTCGTAACTACCATTTTGAAGAAAAAACGAAACAAAAATTTCTACATATTTTAATACAAATAAAAAATTTGTATATAAAAAAATATAAATACAAATACAATTATATAAATACGTGTTCGGGTTCCAGGTACCCACTGGTGGCCAGGGTGATACTTAAAATGATTTCGCTTTACTAGTTATGGTCATAATTTGTTTGGTAAAGATATTCGAAATCGTCAATTAAAACAGAACATTCTTACACTTTTTGTAAAAGGTGTCGCAAAAGTAATCCTCCTATCAGAAAATGCTATAAAATTTACTATTTGGCCCCTAAACACTGCCAAGAAACATCGGAATGTCTGTCAAGTATATATGCCTGTACAAAGGTGGTGCAACAGTAAACATCCTATGTTTTCTTTGGCTGTAATTTAGACATTTGGGGTCTATTGTAAATTTTATAGCATTTTATTATGGGAGGATTACTTTGGCGTCACCTTATAAATACCATGTCAGATCCATGAATAACTAAATTCGGCAAAATTGGAGTCCTTTTCTTAAACAAAAACGACATTAAAGACCGAAATTTAAATTCTTCTGTATGACCCCATTTGTCCATTTGTTCCATAACTAATTCCATGCAGTGGGTACTCTTTTTTAGGTGAATGAATGAAAATGTTTTTGGTATTTCCAGGTGTGTGCGTGTGCGAAGAAGTCATGATGAAACCAGTAAAGAAAGTCTTCAAATCGGACGGGCCGAATTTATGATACCCTACACCACTTTGCATGCTTAGTAGAGTTTGACATAAAAATATGGGGTGAGAGGGGGATTTCTGAGATTTAATTCATACCAACTATGATCATAGTATTTGGTGCAAAACCCATTTAGTGCACAATTAACTTGAAATCGGATAAAGATATATATGGGAGCTATATCCAAATCTGAACCTATCTCGATTTGGCAAAGGTATTTCCGAGCTGTATTTGATATATTTACCCGAATATCGTTACTACCGAGTAAATATTACGGCTGCGGAGGACAAAAATAACAAATCGGATGAACAATATCTATGGGAGCTATAGCTATATCTGAACCGATTTCGACAAAGCATAGCATACTTGTTTCTAGACCCAATTTGGTCGTATGTGCCAAATTCCATCCCATTTGGGCTAATTTTAAACGTTTGGTGCACAATAAAAGGCAAATCGGACGAAGATATATATATGGGAGCTATATCCAAATCTGAATATATTTCGATAAAATTTGGTAAATGGCATTTCTGAGCTGTATTTGATATATTTCCCCAAATATCTTTACTACAGAGTGCATATTACGGCTATATAGAATAAATTCAACAAATCGGATGAACAATATGTATGGGAGCTATAGCTATATCTAAACCGATTTTGATAAAAATTGGCATATTTATTACCAGGCCTAGTTTGGTCGTATGTGACAAGTTCCATACCATTTGGGCTAATATTACACGTTTGGTGCACAATAAAATGTAAATCGGACGAATATATATATGGCAGCTGTATCTAAATTTTGACCGATTATCTCCAATTTCAAAATTGTTTGTCCGTGGGCCAAACAAATGATTTGTGCAAAATTTCATCTGAATCGGACAATAAATGCGACCTGCACTTTGTTTACAAAAATATATGGACAGTCATGCGACTCAGAATGTGATTCTATGCAAATCTTTGAAAGGAGCTATGGGTCTATCTCGTTTCCGTTTGCTTGTTACAAACAAATGCCCAAAGACATAATACCCTGACCACCTTGTGGTGTAGGGTATAAAATCAATTTAGTGAGATTTGTGTATTTTCAAATAAAATTTAAAAATGAAAAACCAAATATCTAAAATTGAAAATAATTTACAAGACTTTTTAAACGTTAACTAACTTGTCATAAAGAAAAAAAAAAAACAATTCGAATATGGAAATGGGTGGGTGATAGTTTCAATAATGGTGGTTGTTGATTCCTGTGTGTGTTGAGTGTTATTGTGGTTGTTTTTTATGAGAATAATGAAAACAAATCAATACCAAAATCATAATCACAATGATCTAAATATGAACATCACCTCTTCATTCGATTTTCTTGGATGTTTGGTTGATGGTGATATACATTTCATGGCTATATGAATTACTAAAATTGTTTTCTGTTCTTGTATACATACATATATATGATGGCTTGGTTTTACATTTCTTTTGAATCTTTCATTTCGTATATATATGAATTTTTTTTACTATGATATTAATTCGTAAGTATTTTGTGGAGATTAACTTGAAAATGGGGGAGAGAGCAAAAGTTTTCTAATACGTTTACAATTACACACACACATACTACTACATGGAGTACGATAATAGCCAAAAATTTGTATTTACTTTGGGTTTGCTTTTAGTTTTTTTAGGTAAATTTAAGGATGGGAAATGAAGAAACAAAATTACACAAAACTAATTGAAATGAGCCGATTTTAAAATACCCAGCACCACCACTTGATATATCCATAACACCCGTTTCCTAATCATCAAAGAAAAAACACACATTGACATAAAACATACAAGGACCTCCCTACGTGACTCTGTCTTTAATACGCTTAGGAGAATCCTAAAAGCCTCCCAAAGTTTAGGATTAGGATTAGGAAGACAAATGTGGATCATCTTCAGAAGAAGACCAGACCGAGTTACTATGACCACATATTAAAAACAGTCACAAATATGTGCAGCAAATTTGTAAATTTTGGAAGGATTATAAATATCAAGTAACTACAATAATAGATGGAAAATAAAGCCGTGATTTCTAGGCAGTCAGGCGGTTGTTGAATTAGTAATTCCTTTTCTGTAAAATTATTTTTCTGTCTTTCATTTGCCCCTGTAAGCACATACTACGAAACTGCTTCAAATATCCCAAAATAATGTTTTGAGAATTGCTACAGGTTTATTTGGAGCTCTGTATTTAATTTGGCCGCCTCTCTGTGGATGCACTTTGGACATTCCGGCAAATGAAATAATGTTCTGGGTTTTGCTAAGAATTTCTTCAAGAAGCTAAATTCGGATAATATTCTTAAAAAAACAAGGATGCTGTCAGTCAGGCGACATTATTTGTGATTTAATAACAGTTCGAAGCCGATTTACCCTGGCCTTAAGTCACAACAAAATTTTGAAAGGATTAAAAATGTTTGAAAGCATTAATTTCTTTTCTGTCAAATTTGTTTTTATTACTTCTTTATGTTCTGAAGAAATATATTGATTTCTCTCTCTACATTGAAACGTTGAAAAGACCTAATGACTCCAAGAGTAATATGGTTGCAAATCTCGGTAGTAGAAACTCGCAAAAAATCTGTGAAATAAATAAATGAACAAAATAAGCCCCTATATGGCGGCTGTTAAAAAGCTGACAGAGATTCTGAGAATCAAGAAGCCAGTCGAAATGGCAAGGGAACTTAGCAACTTCATAACAGGACCAGTGGCAATATATGCCGACTGCCAGGCGGCCCCTTAAGCTATCAAGTTAAATGCCATCGAATCAGAAGCCACTTACAAAAATTATAATGTTTAATCGCGCAGATCATGTTGAACATACCCCAGAAAATAGAAACTCAAGCCCCAGCTGAAAGCCGGGCTAGTTTAGAAAAACTATGGTTCGCATAGCGGGTGTTGGACATATCTCGAGGAAAAAATTTCAAGCCTCGACAGAAAGCCGGCTAATTATAAAAGGTTAAATACATAATTGTGGAGAAAATCCCAATTTCATGATTTGCATCACTAATATTTTTGGAACTATAAGAGATATCAGCACACATGGTACCATTTCGGAAAGGCAAGATTGTAGGCTATGATGTAGCACGTAGATGTTAGTGGGTCCATTTTCGAGTTTTTAGGGGTTTTTCAAAGAGTACTGATATAAAAATACCAATTTTTTTCTGCATTATTCCGGAACCGGTATCATATGACCAATACCCTTACCATATGACCACTTGTTAGAAAGGTATTTCCATAAGCTTTCAAATGATACCCATTTTGTAGATAATGTTTGTAGAACCGGATAAAAACCGGATGTTGTATCCGAACTTTCGGGCCAAATGACCTGCTAACCGCGCATTTCTACCTCGAAAAAAATACATTCCCTTTATTAGGTTAAAAATACCCACCTGCGGTAAAAATTTCAAAATGATCCGTGCATAAGCCCTAAACTCAACTTGCTCCTGTACCGTAATATGGGGGCTATGCGACGGCATTGGTCTGCATACGCCATTTTTTCTCTTAGGCTCTAGTATCCATCAAGAAATTTGTATACGAAATTTGCAGCCATTTCGATATATAATGTCGTTAAAATCATAAAAATACCTAATATTTGGAGGTATCCATTATGATTTGCAAATACAGAATTTGAAGCGATTTCGGTAAATAATGTCGCTAAAATCATAAGCCAAACTATCGATAAGCTGTTATGTCAGCTGTTTCAAGAAGACCCTCATCGGGTTGCTGGAAGAAGATGATATTTGGAAACTAAAGGCAGGGTAACTGAAGATATCTGGCAGGAATATTCCATGCTCCGAAATCTAAGAATCGCGCTAAGCATATTATTTAACAATTGCAATATCAGATATGTTGACCTCAGAATGGGATAACTGCGGTCTGGACTATTGTACACAATTTGTGGATGAAAAGGAGGAAGAGGCGATTAAACTCCTCATATTTTCCATGTTATCAAACAGGAGACAAAGACTATTTGAAGAATAAACTCTGGAATTTTTCATGATGCTAAAAGCATCTCCTGGAAAGGCAAACCAAAAAAACCTCTTCCTACCCCTACAAAATTTCTTATTTCTTTCTAAGATGAGCGCAGTGGTACAATGGACTCCGAGTGAAGTTGCTGCCGAATGTGTAGCAACGCATCCTTAACCAAGCCGAACAGTCTCTTCCTTTTGAGAAAAAAAATGTTTGAAATTGGAATGTGAAGGAGAAACGACAAATCCCTTCACTGTTTCTAATCAAGAGGTACTAATTTCCCTTATGACAATCTACCAACTTTTTGGTATTCCCCTCAAGCGGTCGTGGTGGTGTGGGTTATATATAAAATAGTTATAAAATATTATTATTTTGGATTGTTCCCATAATATATATGTAGAATGTATATATATATATATATATATATATATATATATATATATATATATATATTTTAAATTCAAACAATTAACATAGCCCATTATAAAATATAAAAAAACAATATATATATATAAATAAAACAATTACTTGAGCAAAAAATCCAAACTATGTATGTTTTTTTTAACAAATGTGCTGTTTTGTTTATATATACGATAATGCTGTTATATATATATATATGTATTTATATATATGATTTTTGATAGTTTGACTCACACATATATATTGTGTTTTGGTAGGTTTGTTTTTTTTTTCTTTCATTCTATGATGTAGTTATATATATATATGATGATGTATATATGTAATGTATATATATGCAATTCTAATAATGCCTATGATGTTCTTTTCTTAGTTGTTGTTGTATATGTTGTGTCTATGTTGTTCTTGCAGTTGTTTCCATTGAGATTTTTATTTTGTCTTGTGTTTTGTTTTATTTTCGAAAATTTATGCGTTGTTAATGTGATTTTTTTTTTTTGAGTTTGTTTTTTGCTACTACTTCTTCATCAGCGTCATCATTATCCTTGATGCTTAAATAATTTTTGGTTATACGCGATGTTTGATGATTACAATATGTATGAGTGTAAATTGTTGCTGTTAATGTGTGAGTGTAAAAAAAAAAAAAAACGAAAAACACATGAAATAAAAACTAATTGCATATGTCTTTCTGTCTGTCTGTCTGTCTGATGGTGGTTGTTACACAAATCATTTTATGCTGCGAGGATGATAATTTGTCTTACATATGTATGATGGCTGTGTGAGGGGGATAATGGCTTGAAGATGATGTAGGGACATGGGTAGTTTGTTTTGTGTAAATGGAAGAAGGTTTCCTTAAGTATCCTTGATTTGTTGTTTCTTTTCATCTTCTTTTTGCATCGCATAAGGAAATCATAAATTTTAAAAACAAAACAATACAAAGATAGAGATAGCGAGAGAGATAGAGATAATAAACCATAATAATCATAAAATAATCGTAATCATAACCATAATAATAATAATTATAATTGTTAATAAAAATATTTGTTTCGTTTTCAATTCAAAAAGTATACTTATATGTCTAAAGAACGACGTCAGGCAGGTCGTGCGGCCTGGCCTAGGCGCGCATTTGGTTTTCATGTACAATTTTTCTTTCCTTATAGTAGATCTCCTCGGACTCTTTGTCGCACAGTAATAGTACAACAGCTCCAAATAGGAAAATGGCAGCGCCCCAGCCAACGCCATAGGCCCAGCCAAATTCCCAAATTGGTCGATTCGCTGTAAACAAATTGCAAAGGAATTAGTAATTATATTTTAAATGTGACTAGGTTATATTTGTTTAATTACCCAGATTCAGTTCTCCAGCAAAACATACGGGATAAATTATTAAGGCCGATAATACAGCTAATACTGAAAATGTATAGAAAAAAAGTATTCAATTTAGAAAGTTTGCATTTTAAGGCTTTGGTGGTGAAGAAATATATTTGTTTCTTCCAATGTCAAACTTCCAGACATATTAAAAAATTGAAATTAAAATGTTTAAACGGATTGGAAATTAGTCTCCAATATCGAACACACTAATGACAGTCTAATAGCAGATAGCAACGTAGTTTTTGAACTGATATAGAAAATGCTATGAGTCTGAGTTGGAGAATATCTCATATGATCTCTGGGATAACCAATCCATAAAAAACTTTGTATGAGGATCACTTCATGTGCGGAGAAGTGGTTTAAGGAAGCGTTATTGGAAAGTGATATATACCAATAGGTAAAAAATTGCACACCATTGTTATTAAAGGTTTGGTTGGATCTAGGTCTATCCAATCTTGCATGATAGTGTCACCCTTGAAGTAGGAAGTTTAGATAAGGGGGGATTTTGGAAATGTGTACTTTTAAAGTACGAAAAGATGTAGATCTTTAAATTTTGCATGGCAGTCACTCTTGGTGTAGAGTTCAGATAAAGCGAGATTTTTAGAAAACTGATTTCAAGGGCGCAAAAAGTTTCAAGAGGAACCACATCGTTATTCAACAATTGGAAAGGGTATACAAAATTACTAAGAGTAAATCAGAAATTTTGCTTGGGTAGTTGGCTGAAATACAGAGTGATAAAGAGATGATAAAACTGCAACCAACTTCAGACTGCTGTCATTTCTAAGCCACTCGTCCGACAGCTGTTAAAATTATTCCTGTGACAGCTCATTATATTGTTTACAAGCGTACAAAAGCATTTTGGTGAGAATTTTCCAGAAAAAAGTTATTCGTGATGGAATTCAAGCGTGATAGCGTAATTCCTTTATATTCGGCTGGAAAACCACAAGTGGTTATCGTTAGAGCGCTCCACCATTTAAATGTGAATAAATCTTTTGTGTCTCGTACCATCGCTTGATACCGTGATACTAGTAGCATAGCCCGACGTCAAGGAAGCGGACGGAAGAAAACAGCAACATCGGCAGAAATGGTTCGAAAAGTAAAGAAGCGACTTGATCGAAACCCGCGTCGCAGTGGCCGAAAAATGGCTTGTTAGCTGAACATATCGCAATATTCCATTCGGCAAATATTGAAAAATGAGCTCGGGTTCAAGCCATTGAAATTCCAATAAGTGCAAGAACTTACACTGCAACAGAAGGAAAGAAAATAGACTCGAAAGAGCTAAATAGTTGCTTCGCTTGGCCGAAAGTGGTGAAGTGCCGAATTTGGTTTTCTCCGATGAACAAACAAAATGATCGTGTTTACTTGCCAAAGAGGTCAGCTAAAAATGTGCAACTTCGGTTGGCCACCAGAACACAAGCGCCGGCCATGGTGATGGTGTGGGCTGCCATAACAGGCGATGGTCGTTTTCCGCTCGTATTAATCGACCGCGGCATCGGTGTATTAAAGCCTTGGGTACGCAAACATTTTGGCCACAGACCTTGGACATTCCAACAGGACTCAGCACCATCGTTACAGGTTCCTCGCTTAATTTCCAGCGCACAATGGCTACCAAAATCTCCGGATACCAATCCGTTGGACTATTGTGCCTCGAGAATTTTGGAAAGCAAGGTTGGCCTAAAAAATACCAAAGTGTCGATCACCTCAAGCAAGCGCTTAGCCGGGAATGGGACAAAATACAGCAGAGCAACATTCGGGCAGCGTGCGACGGTCTCATTGGCCGTTTGAAGGCCATAATTCGTACTAAAGGTGACTAATTCGAACAAGTCTAAACTTATTCAACATTTGAAACCTAAAATGTGTTTTTAATATTTATAAATTCCTGATGTTTGGGTAAGATTTAGAGATTTGATGTATTCTGAGAGCTATACGATATTTTGACTTGCTATCCTTAGTGGCACTGGATGCGTCACATCTAGAGTTAAAGACATGCGCAAAAAATGACCACATATCCCTATGGAATAATAAAGGCGTAGGAAAACATAAAAGTCCTATGGGGCGCCGCCAATGAGATACAATTCTTAAGGAACGGCTCTATACCAGACCTTAATCAGATCAGGGAATACTGGTTTAAATGTATGTCCACCAGGCAATTGTTCTAACCCTCTTTTCAACCTAACTTCGCTACTTAATTTACTTTAATTGCGATGTAAACTTTCAAAACCACCAAACACACGTGGCCTTTGTCATCCACTCGTCCGTCGCCTTGAGCCATACGGCCGCAAAAGCCCTTGTTGTTGTTGTCCTCATTGCACCGCAAATGCTTAAGCAGCACATTCGTTAGACTTTCGTAATATTTTAATTTTACAATTTTTATCCATAGCTGTCCACAAGACTAACGATGCATGAATAGTCAGTGTCTCATCTTTGGATTAAAGCCCCATTTTGAACCTATAGTCTTTTTACACGTTGCCCAGCATCTGTGAGCTGTTTACCTTATAAAAACATATCTCCATTGTCCGGGTCTACGTTAAGACCTCTTGGTCTAGCCCAGTTGTATGCAAGTTTCAGGACCGTCTAGGGTTCTTTCCCCTCAGAAGTATTACAATGTCGTCTGCATAACAGACTGGCTCAAATCCCATTGGCAAAGTAAAGCAACCCCCAGGAAAAGATAACAAAATATCTTCCTGTGGCGTTTCTTGACCAACATTGTCCCTTTTGTTTACATCATATAACCTGCAACTTATCCATATATTTCTTAACATATGGTTTATCCAGTCCCTGAGGGCCCAGGCGAAATTATTTAAATGTTGGATTAGTGTATCTGTGCTAACTTTTTTTTGTAATCATATTTTTGTGTTACACGGCGATATTGTTTTAGGACAAATGCAATGGATCACTGGCTTCCCTAACCCAGCCTTCTTTCAAACAAAACTTGGCGATTTATGTTTAAAAAAAATTGTGAATCTAAAATGAATTTTCCAATTAAATTAACCACATTTTTTAAATATGTGAATATGTGTGTGAACATATTATACTTACATGATAACAGCATTACTAATACCGCAATTCTATAAAATTTATATTTTAATGTGTGATTTTGGGTTTTTAAACCAAGTCCGGTTAATATTGTTGCAATAACATCCGTTATTAGCGTTATAACACATAGTACAGCTGTTGCTTTAATATAAACTGGAATAAATGGGAAAAGAAGGACAGAAAAAAAACGAAATGAATGAAAATTAATTAATTGTATGGTCAATAATTGTGGTTACACGTGTCATCAAACAACAACAACGGCAACGACAACCATGAGAGCAACATAGAAAATAATAGAAGTTGAGAATACTTACAAACATCACGACTGGGATAACAGCCTGGAGGATCAATTATATTAAATGGAAGTGGTGGCAATACATCCTCTTCGATGCAATGGACAAATAGACCTTGACGCCAGCCCTCAGCCATTAGCCAATCGGTGGATGCCAATGCCATAATCATTAATAGTATAACAATAACGCCACAAATAAATGCAATGACCTGTGGGTTGGGCGATGCGGGAGGGGCAGGCAGCGGACATCATCATATTGTTTTTGGGGGGGTTTTCAACATTTCATTATTATTATCATCATCATTATTGTTGAGATCCAATTGTGAAATGTTTAGGCGCGCCAGGTGTTGCAGGTGTAGTTGTAGGTGAGCCCGAGCGTGGAGAACATGAAATGAAACCAATCAAAAAGAAAAGAACAACAAATTAGTTTATTACACACAGTTATACGCACATTATTTATTTTAATACTGTATTGCGATAACAATAAATATATTAACAATTTATGGCTTGTTAGTCGGTAATACGCCTCCCGTGTCAAAAAAAATGCGCACAAAAATTTGAGCCATTGTAATGTCCTTTTTTTTGGAGTCCAGTTAGTAATTATTTTAATTGTTTTGTTAATAATTGGGTAATGTCGTCATCAATTGTTGGCCACAAAATCGAAACCCAATGGAGACATAAATCCCATTTATTTGTTAATGAAGAAAATTGTCGAATATTGTGTTCACAATTTTTATTGACAATTTTTAGAATTATATTTATACGAAGCTTGCTATTTATGGCCTTCTAAATATAGCTGAAAATTTTTATATTTTTATACACTCCACACCATCCGAAATCGTCCAACTGTCCATTGTAATTACGCCGTAGTGAAAAAGAATTGAGGGATGACTAGATTTTTTTGTATATTTTATATGAAACGTGTCCTAACGCCTCTTGAATATAGAGTCCAAAATAGATTTTGGGCGTTATATTTACCCAAATCACGGCCACAAGGCGCTACATTAAATTGTAGAAAGACTTGAAGATCTTTAATCAAACCATTCCATTCCGGTTACCAGTAATAGGCCTATATTACTCAACAACATGGAAATTTTTTGCGGAAGAATATAGGTGGGATGACTTTCAAAATGCAAGAATTGAAGCCGAACAACTGCAACGTAAAATTTTGGTACGCATAACAATATGCGAGTCGAGAGGCAATTTCGTTGAAGTTTTATTTCAGGTTCGTGGGATTTAACGCCTTAAGATTATTTTTGTATGGTTATGTCCATACCGTCCTCATTGCACCGCAAATGCTTGAGCAGCACAATCGTCGGTCTTTTTTCATTTTTTTATCCATAGCTGTCCACCAGACTACTGATGCGTATGTTAGAACAGGTCTAATTACACTTTTGAATAGCCAGTGTCTCATCTTTGATAGAAACCCCATTTTGAGCCTATATCCCTTTTTCCATCCTGTCCAACATCTGTAAGCCTTTAGAATATATTAATTATTTGATATGGTCAAAACATGCCTCATCGAAATAACGGTTTTAGACCCTAGGTCTCTTTGACCAAATCCCTTCAGGAAATTTGGAATCGATCTAACGATGTTCGTCCGTCTGTCTGTCTGGTGCGCACGACAACTCTCGAAGGGGGTATCCGGTTTCGTCCAAACTTGGTGCATCGTAATATTATTATAAAACCTAGATCGAGTTCGAAGATGGGCAAATCGGTCTACTCCTTCTGGTACCTTCCCCACAAAAGGTTGAAATTTTCAAAAAAAAAAATATTTTGCTGAACAGTAAGAGAAAGGCTAATCCGATTTTGCTCCAACTTTGCAAATTCTAATATTTATATCAGGGCTAGATCAGATTCGAAAATGGATCATATTGGTTCATTCCATCAAGTACCTCCCCCACAAAAATTTTGAATAATTATAACACTTACAAAATGTGATATAAGAGCCCGATTGTCTCCCAATTGCACACATCACATAATTGTTTTTTACCCAAGGTCAGGTGTAAAGATGGAATATATCGATCCACTCCTTCTGGTACATGCCCCACAAAGGGTCAAAGTTTTGAATAACCAAAACGATTATAAAATCTGATATAAGCGTCCGGTTGCCTTCATATTTCACACATCCCATTATTTAAACTAACACAACATCTTCTGTGAAGATGAAATATATTGGTCCACTCCTTCTGGTACCTTTCCCACAAAGGGTCATAATTTTAAATACCCATGACGCTCATAAAACCTGAAATTAACATCCGATTCCATTCAGTCTTGGCATATCTCAATATTTCCATAAACATGAGATCTGTTATAAAGATGGTAGTGATCGGATCATTTCTTCTGGTACCTCCCCCACATAGGGTTCATTTTTTTTAAAAAACAAAACGCTCAAAGTAGCATGAGAACATTTTTGCTATCGCAAGATCTATTGTGAAGACGATATATATCTGCCAACCAATTCTGGCACCTCACCCACAAAGGGTCACAATTTCCAATACTTATATCTCTCATAACTTGCGATTTATGATTTCGCATTAAATTGGATATAAATGTTCGATTTCCTTCAAATTTTGCACACAGCAATATTTTTATCTGTATTAGAGGAAGTAAGAAAATAGAATACTTCGGTCTACTAAATCTGTTACCTCACGCATATTTCCACATTTCCAAAATTTCCGAATCTGGCACGTTGTAATATTTTTATCAGCCTTAGCTCAGATACGAATTTGTCAATATTGTCCAACTGCTTCGGAACCTTCCCCATAAAGGGGGAATAATTAAGACTGGGGGTATACATCTGTCGGCAAAACCGACTGATACTATTTTACTTGTTTTATATATTCTTTGAGTTTATTATGATAACTGTTTCGGAATACTACTTGTTTTTTACGTCGAACTCTACTATAAAGTCTTCGGACCTCTTTTCCTTTGTTACGAATTTCCCCTGACATCCAGGTTTTTTTGTAAACAAATTTCCCCTCTCGAAGCGGACAGCTTTTTTCGAATGTCTTTACTAAAATCTCCGTTAAACTATTTACATCTCTGTCTATATCCTTTATGCTTAGGCATTCAATGATTCCTAGCCCTAGCCTCTCTTTTATTAGTTTCCCAAACTTTATCCCTTCCATTTTGGATTTGTTCCGGAAACTTATCGAGTTCAGCGGCGGCCGTGTTAGTTCAACTCTTATAAAACAAAGAGTGCTCATCCGAGACCCTCCAATTCTTTATGTCGTTGATGAGCGTTAAAAACAAGATTCACTTCCTTTTGGAGTAGAGCCAGGAAGATCATATCTGGTCCCGCTGCCTGAAACGGTTTGAAACTTTTAATGTGGCATCCCTTAACATCGACTCATCAATTTTTGGTGCTTCATGAGTCACATTTCCTCTATCCGCCGATGTATCTACATGAGCTCGGCTGGAAGTGTGCTGCCATCCGAAGCCATTATCTCGGATTATGTATGAGTGTTAGAAAGAAACTTTTGCTTAAATTCCACCAAAGAGTGCTGATCCTGACCTCCAATTCTTAATGTCGTTGATAAGTGTTAAGAATAAGAAGATCCACTTCCACTTTTGGAGCAGAGCTGGGAGGATCATATCTGGTCCCGCTGCCTTAAACGGTTTAAAATTTTTGATGTGGCAACCTTTACCATCCATTCATAAATTGTTGGTGCTTCATAAGTCACATTTCCTCTATCTGCCGATATATATACGTGTGCCGTGTTGCTCGGCGGGAAGTGTGTGTTCATCCAAACTTGACTTGTGTATGAGTTGTAGAAAGTAGCTTTTGGTAAAATTAAACCAAACTTGAGATGTGAGTTAACAGTGAAACAAAACATGAATCGTTCGTCACCAAGAAGATAATAGCTAAAGAAAATCACTCTTTAAATTTCCCAATGGCGAGTCAGAAGTGTGTTGCAACATTACCGACAATACTTCATCCGGACCAGGTGTGTTAATGAAACTGAAAGGTGATTGAATTATTAGATTTAGAAAAAAACCACGACTTACCTTTAACGGTCGGGTGATTGTTATGGTTTCGATAGTCGTTGTGGGCGCCATTTTCGATGGTGATGGACGTCGTGAACTGGAAAATTTTGCAAAAAAAAAAAAAAAAAAGAATTAAAAATTAAATTAAATCTTCAATAATTTCAAAAATACAAATAACATTATTTTCGATTTGCATAAGCATTTGTCTTAAGATAAAACATAAAATTTGTTAATACGGCATTTTTGTTCTATTCAATACTCACCAATTTTTAACAGAATGTTTGCAGTTTTAATGTTACTTATGTTACGTTAAAAAATTGTTTTTTTATTATTTTCTTCGGTTTGATGATGATGCGCTGGAGAGTTTTTTACAATTTCAACAATGTGTATTGGATGTGTATGGATTGCGGATGATGCAAATTTGGTTGTTGTAATCGCTTATTATTGGTAATTGCTTATTTGGTTAGAGATGTTGTTATTGGAATAAACTTGGATTTTTACAAAAAGTAACGAAACAAACGAGAGAAAAAAAAACAATGGGAACAACAAATGCTTTGTTTTGTAGCTTGGTTTTGGTTGGTTGTTTGTTTGCTTGCTTGGTTCAAAGGGGGGAGTTGTTAAGGACCTTTTCTTTTTTTTTTTTTGTTAAAATGTCTTGATTTTCTTTTTCCAAAATTATTTTGGGTTTTCTTTTTTTGTATTTATTTATTTGCAATTAGGGGAATGCATAAATGTTTATAGCAATAACTTTTTCTTTGTTAATTGTAGTTTTGTTTTGTTTTTTTTTGTAAACTTGGTTAGTTTTTAGTGAATCCTTTGTTTAATGTTGGTTAGTAGTAGCCTCTTTTTCGCTTTCATTTGGAAAATGTCTTTATTTTTTACTCTTATTGTTGTTGTTTTTCTGCTTAATGCACTTTTGAACACCTTTGGGAGATTAGATATTAAATAGGTTTGTTTTATTAATTAAGGTAGTGAATAAGAATTTTATAATAAAACCACGAAGTTATGAATGAATGCGTGAATCGAAAAATATAGTTTTTTTATGTAAAATATTTTAAATAAATATAAAAAACATACAAGGCGCTAAAAGAAGCAATGCATGCCATGAATTAACCAAATAAATGTACCCCTTATAAAATGAAAAAAGATTGTTTACTTTAACTCCATTTCCATACACGAAAACCCGCAATGAAATGAAGGGAGCACTCACAAATTTGGCGCTCTCTTTTACTAAGAGAATTTGAGTGAGTAAAAAAATAGCGGCATGGTTGCTAGTCAGCCCCTGGCTGAAATGTTGATTTTGAAGTACTGCCTTGTAAATTTAGACATTTCTACGGATCCCATAGTTTCTGGGGATAGTTTCTAGAGAAGTTCTCTCCGAGTGAATGTAAATTTTCTCTCCTTTAATTGTTTGTCTTTAAAAAACAGCACTGGGACACCACAAATGTTATACTATTTATATGGATTTCAGAGTTAAAATTGTGGGATGTTTAAAGATGTTCTTTTCTGAGAGTTCACAGCAGAGGCAAGGATATTTTTAAAAGAATATTTTTTGAAGGAACTGTTGAACTTTTTTGGATATTTTTTGAGCCACTTTTTAATGAAAACATTGTATCAGTATCAGCAGCATCAGTATTGTTTGTATCGATTTTAATGTATATTTCTGGAAAAACAATCGAAGCCTTTTAAGGTTGGGTTTTTAATGAATATCTTCTGAAGTTTAGAAGAGACTAGAGACGGCTAAATTTTTTGAATAGTTTTTTATTTATATTCTTTAAAGGCTTTAAAGTACCCTGATGTGAACTTCAAAAAATATCTTTTGAATGTCCAAATCAGCCCTAAACCAAGATTTTAAAAAATATTTTATAGGTGCTTATACGTGAATTTTAAAAATATTTTTATAGGACAAGCAGAGCCAGCTGGGCCATAGTCGATTTTTTTCCAAAGAACTTGCAGACCCATAAACATGGATTTTTATGAAATATTTTTTAAAAGGTTAGAAAAGTATCGTTTGGATTTATAAGGAATAATTTTGAAGGACTAGCAGAGCCTTCCAAATGTGGATTTTTTCAGGTATATTTTGAGGGAATTTTAAGGATTTATTTCTGCTCGGCCGAACTTACTCCATTTTTACTTGTAGTTCAGAAGAGAAAAACGTCTGTATTTACCTTATATTCTTTAAAGACTCAAAAGAAACCTAATGTGGACTTTAAGAAATATCTTTTCATGGTACAAAAGAGCGCTTAACCTGGGTTTTAAGCAATATTTTTTAGAGGCTTAAAAGACTTAAATGTAAATTTTCAAGGAATTTTTAGAACACACGAAGCCTTAGAAGTGGATTTTTAAGGAATGTTTTCATAAGGACCAGCTGGGCCATAATCGAGGATTTTTTAAAGATTTTTTCAAGAACATGCAGACCCGTAAACTTTAATTTTTAGGACATTTTGTTTTAGAAGCTCAGAAGAGTCTCGTTCTGGATTTATAGGGAATAATTTTAAAGGACTAGAAAAGCCTCATATATGTGTTTTTTTTTTTCAGGAATATTAAAGGATTTCGGTCCGGATCGGCCAAATTTACTATTTTGTTCTTGTTTAAAGTTCAGAAGGGACCTAAAGGCTGATTTTTTAAAAACATTTTTAAGTCACAGTCAATGTGTTTTTTATTTATATTCTTTAAAGACTCAGAAGAAACCTTATATTTTTTAATGGTTCAAAAGAGACGTAAACCTGGAATTTTAAGAAATGTTTTGTAAAGACTTAATGTGGATTTTCAAGGATTTTATACAACAAGCAGAACCTTAGAAGTGGATTTTTATGGAATATTTTCTAAAGAACATGCTGGGAATTGGATTTTAAGGAATATTTGTGATGGAATTTTAAGGAGGACAAGCTCAAAATTGTATTTTGATTTTTAACAAACATTTGTGAATGACTTTTAAGAAATATTTTGAAGGAGTCAATTGTGGATTTTTAAAAAATATTTTTTTAAGGAATATTTTTGAAGGACAAAAAGAACCTTAATTGTATATTTTAAGGACAAATAAAGCTTTCACCGTGGATTTCAAAGTAGGACAAGTGGAGCCTCAATTGTGGATTTTTAAAAAATATTTTTGAAGGTCACGCAGGACTCTGAATACAGATTTTTAATGATTGATTTTGATGGCCAAGAAGAGACTCAATTGTGAGAATTCGACGTCAATTTTAAGGAATATTTGAGAAGAACTTTTATTCTTTTGTCCATTTGAAGGACAAACAGAGTCTTAAATTTGGATTTTTGGAAAATATTTTTTATATGCATAGAATAGCCTCAAAGGATCGTTTATGTTTAAATAATATCTCTTCAGGGTCTTCCATAGCTATAATGGTAGATTTTTAAACAAGATTTTAAGAAGTTTTTTTTAGATAAAGCTATAATCGTGGATTTATAGAGAATATTTGTAGAAGGATCATTGGATAACATCCCTTTAAGGACTTTTATAGAACATTTTTGAAGGATTCTTGAATAATTCCTCTTCAAGGAAGATTTTCTAAATAACATCTATTCAAAGACTTCCAGAGTTATATTCGTTAATTTTCAACGAACATTTCTTTAAAAGAACCAATACTCAATCGTGGATTTTCTAAGAATATTTCTTCAAGTACTTTCAGAGCTATAGGTATAGAGAATTCCTCCAAAGACTTTTGGAGCTATAATTGTTGATTTTTTAAAGAATATATCTTCATATCATAGATTTATAAGAACATTTTTAAAACGTACAGACCTTACAAAATTGATGGATTTTTAGGAATATTTTTGACGAATTATCAGTCCAATAACCGTGGATATTAAAAATATTTTTGAATCCATGTCCATTTAGCGTCTGTTGGAATTGAGACAAAGCTCGCCCTATTAAAGATAGGGTTTTCAAATTTTGCACAAACCAACATCCCAGTATGCTGGGTATTTAAAATGGTATATATCTGTCCACATTCAGGTATGATCCCCATATAACCTATCTGTTGTTGTTTTTATACCCTCCACCATAGTATGGAGGGTATATTAAGTTTGTCATTCCGTTTGTAACACCTCGAAATACACATTTTAGACCCCACAAAGTATATATATTCTTGATCAGCATAAAATTCTATGTCGATGTCCGTTCGTCTATCCTTCTGTCCGTCTGTGGAAATCACTCTAGCTTCCGAACGAATTAAAGTAGATTGATAAAATTTTGCTCAAAAGTATGTTATGTCTGCAGGACTTTTAGTATTGAAAATGGGCCATGTAGGTCCACGTTTTGGTATAGCCCCCATATAACGGTACCTCCCGATATTCGGTATTTTGATTATTTATTTTATCGAATTTATTCACCGGAATTGTTTCAATTTGGTATTTGATGTTCATAATGGATACTACAACCTAAGACTGAAAATTTTCTGTGCAGGTCCACGTCTTCGTAGAGTCCCCATATAACGGTACCTCCCGATATTCGGTATTTTGATTATTTTAACGAATTTATTCACCGGAATTGTTTCAAATTTGGTATTTAAAGTTCATAATGGATACTACAGCCTTCGACAGAAAATTGTCTGTGCATGTCCAAATTGCCCCCATATAACGGTACCTCCCGATATTCGGTATTTTGATTTTATCGACATTATAACCGTTTTTTTAAGTTTCGTATTTGAATATTGTAATGGCTTATGACAAATGTCACCTACGCAGGTTAATGTCGTCGTATAGACCCTAATAAAACAGCTACATTCGGTATTTTTAAGATTTTAACAGAATTTTTACGCATTTTATTGTTTTTGAGAATTACCAAATTCGTTCCAAATGGTGGAGGGTATTCAAAGTTCGGCCCAGCCGAACTATAAGCTATACTTGTTTTAGTTTTTAGCTGTGGCTTCAATTTTTAATAAAAAATCAGCTATTCGAAATTTTTTTTCCAACAAATGTGGAAAAGTGGCATTTTGACTATTTAGGTTACTTTGTAGTGTAAACTCAGACATTCTTGTCTTTCATAGCTTTTTTATGGAGGTGTCGAGGATTATCATATATATTTTTTATTATAAACAATTAAAACAATAAATTACAATTTTCCGCGTAACTCCTCTTCCCATTCAATGAAATTTAATGACCCATAATCTCCCCTCCTTTTCATTGATGTCAAATTCGTATTTACACAAAAATTTAGCATCACTTCAAATTACATTGTTTCTTTTTTATTTCAAGCCCCTTTCGCCCCACTTCACTTCTTCTCCCATTAGATCCATATACGCTCGGATGAAGATGCACAATCGTTGTTATCAGAAGTGACGTAGACATATTCCAGAGAAGAAAAAAAAAACAAATACAACAAAACTAACAAATGAAAGCCCCAAAAATGAAAACAATACCAAAACGTTTCAAATATTATTATTATTATTATTGTTATTGTTGTTGTTTGTTGGTTTTTGTACTTTTTCACAGCAGCATGCAATAAATGCAACAACTCTCATTACAGCAACAAGAAATCAGGAAAAAAAGCAAAACAAAAAAAAAAAGAACCAAACAAACCATTTCAAATGGAAACCAGGCGAAATACAACGACAACAGCAGCAGCACCACCACCAGAGTACGCAGCAATGAAAATGAATGCAGGGAGATAACAAATGAAAACAAGAAAACAAACAAACACACGAACGAAAAACGAAGAGTTCAGACGACAAAACATGAAAACCATTTAAAAAACAATTCATGAAAATATGAAATGAAAATGTCGAAAAAAAAAACTTGAAAAAAGTGGGAGAAAGGGAGAGATGCAGTTTTTTTATTGGCCGTGATAGGGTTATGATTGGGGAACGTTTTAAATTAAAATCAAAATCTCGGAAGATGTTCTGTGGCCCACAGGGCTTTTTAATAATATAAAAACAAGTTAAAGAGTATCAGCCGGTTTTTTCGAA